CTCAACCTGATAGGTTGTTATGTGTATAGTGGGAGTGGCTATGTTAGCCGGGAATGTTTAAATACCGGGCAGTTTCAATGGGCAAACTGTTCGGGCTATCAGATGTTGTACCGTGTCGAAGAAGTGAACGAAGAGCTGAATAAACTTGAGTCTTTGCTGAAATCACTCTCCGACTCATTGTTAATTGGTTTAATTTATTTGTTTTATTTTATTATTATAACTATTCTTGTCATTATGGAGGTGTTATTTTTATTAAGAAATCTGATGGGGAAGAAATATTTTAAAAGGGGTAGGATAACTTGGGAATTTAATGAATGAATTGATAAACTAAGGGGGAAATTGGAAAACAAATGTGAGAAGTTTGAATTAAGGAATAGTATTTATTTAGCTGTGTAATAATTTATTTGTGTGTACTGGTCTTAGAAAGGCTTGCATTAAGAATAAGAAATCATAATTAACCTTGATAATACAGTATATGATGAGGTAGTTTCATTGGGGGTAAAAGATAACCAGTTGCAAACTTGTAAGATTAGAGTATAATGTTATTGGTGTAGATCTATAGGAAATGTATGGCCATAATTTATTTAATAGGATGCAATGAAAAAATAAAAAAATAAGTTAAAAGAAAATGAATTTTAAAATACATAAATAATTTAAAAAGGGGTGAAAGGGGAAAAATATAATAATAAATTAAAATAAAATAATTCAGCATTAAAACCTATGTTCATAATGGAAATAAGAGTTATCAGACTACTAAGGATGGAAAAGAGTTAATATTGTATAAGGTGAAGATAAATTGTTATATATGGTTTTTATTGCTAGTTAGAGCTTGCAATTTAGTTAAGATAGTATATCTGTCCTAAAGACAACGTAAATTGGTTTATTGTACTCAACATAAATTGATTAGTAAGGTTGAGAATAAGAACTGGATATTTGTTGAGATACTTTGTTGGATTGATGTGATGTTCTGTGTTGTTGAGAGACAAAGTGTTCTTATAGGATGTGTAAGTAGTCTTGTTGATCTGATGTATATGTATGATATAGGCTTATATGATAAACTCAAATAAATTAATTAAAAAAAAGAAGAGATAAGCCAGTTCACTGCAAAGAGGAATTCTGTAGGCAAGAGCATTGCTCGTCAGATGTGTGCTTTAGGGGTCAGCCGCTCACTGGCTAGGATCCACTTGTAACCTTGCTCGCCTCTGTGCTTCTCAGCAAACCATCCGCGATCTGTTTGACATGCCACTGGATGACCCAGGCAAGAAAGAAGGCGAGGCCCCCCTTCCAGCCCAGGAGGAGGAAGAGGACCCCATGGCCACCAAGCAGGCTCAGATTCTGGAGCAGGTAAGCGCAACACACACACACACCCCAGACACAATGTTGATGTGAAGATTGCTGCTTCCCTGGGTCAGGAGCCTTGATTACTCAACCCGCCCTGGATATATCTCTGGCTCACAGGCTCTGTGCAGAGCAGAAGACCCTGAGGACATCCGAGCAGCCACCCAAGCCAAGGCAGAGCAAGTGGCTGAGCTGGCAGAGTTCAACGAGAACATCCCTTTGGATGCAGAAGACAGACCTAGCAGGGAAGAGGAAGAGGAGATGTCGAAGGCAGAGCAGGAAATTGCTTCGCTAGTAGAACAGGTACACAAACCTGTTTGCCCCTTTGCAGAATGATAGTCCTGTTCTATCTTATGCCTAAATGAAGTGTGCTGTTGCTCCGTCGTGCAAGTTCACATTAGGTCATGAAGCCTGTTTATACTACATTGCATCAGTTAGATCAGTACTGTTGGCATGATTAGCAGTTGTTCTCCAAGGTCCCCAATTGTGAAGAATGGATTGAGGTCTCAGGGTCTTTCCCAACTTACTCCTTGAGATTCTGTTATCTAGAGATCATGTCCATTGAACATTTTGATTTGTTTATAGTAAAACCCAGTTCTGGCTAGATCACTAAAGTCCTGGCTCTTAGCTGAGCTGCCCCTCCCTTTCCTTCAAAACCCCCACCTGAACTTTACTTTCTCCCTGCAGCTCACTCCCATTGAGCGCTATGCCATGAACTTCCTGGAGGCATCTCTGGAGGACATCAGTCGAGAGGAACTGAAGCAGGCAGAGGTAAATGACTGTCTCGTTGGGCAAGTGCAGCTGCAGGGGGGACTCTGTGACTTGTGCCTGGCTGTGTCCTCTTTCGGTTCAAAGTTGATCAGCTTCTCAGTCTGATGCAACTTTTTGGACAGCCAAATAGCAACCATCTTTCAGGCTGTTGTGAGTCCCATTTCTCTGGACTCACAACCTTTCAAGGAGATGACACCCAGGGTTGAAAACTGTATTCTAAGATTGTAGACCTGGAGCTCTGGTTGGTTGGAAGGGAAGGAGCAGTGGGGTTCAGTGCTTGAGCAGCATAGACCTCAGAACCCTGCTCTTTGAAGTGCCCCAGAACAGACTAAACCAAATCCTCTACCTTAACTGGCATTGTTTGACACAACAGCTGTGAGCTCTTTTCTGGCTGCCCCCCACTTAACCAGTCCCTTTCTCCATTGTCCTTAGGAACAGGTGGAAGCTGCCCGCAAAGACATTGACCAGGCTAAAGATGAAGTGGTCTTCAAGCTGCCAGAAGATGAAGACGAGAGCTTGCTTACTGAGGAAGTCTCCAGTAAGAAGAGCAAGAAGGGCAAGGTTTCCAGCCGCACAGCCTCAGAAAGGACGGGCACCCGCGTGAGCGAAAGGCTGCGTAGCACACGCCAAATGCTGCGAGATGGGGACGGCGGAGATGCAGAGTCTCCCCAAGGGAGGTTGTCCAGCCTCCGACATTCCCGGGTGGCGGCTGAAGAGGAGGAGGAGGGCCTGCCTCAAGTGGCCCAGCACACACGAGGTGCTGTCGTACGAAGGGAGCTGGTACGGGACGAAATGCCAGTGCATCCTGTCCCACACGCTCGGAGGACTGTGCTTCGCCGAGAGGAGCTGTGGACGAAGGCCCCAACCACGGGAGAGAGGCTGCAGAGAACAGCCCCGTACAGGACTGAGGCATTCACTTCCAGAGATAGGGCTTTGAGAACTAATCCACACAGGACAGACACCCCACCTGCTGGGGAGAAGTTACTACGAGTTACTCCCCCAAAGCCCGATCTAGGTGCTGCTGGTGATAGGATGCAAAGAGGAACTCAGCCTACTGGTGACCGGTTGCCCCGAGGTGCCCCACAAAGAACAGATACCAGTGTGGAGAAAGTTCTGAGGTTGGGCCAGCAGAAACCTGTTGGGCTGGACAGACTCCAAAGCAGCCCCCCTAGGCCTGAGACCCCAACCTCTGAGGCACAGATCCCCCAGCTCCATCCACAAGGACTTGACAGAGAGGCGGTCAGAGTAAAAGTGGATTTAAGAGAGCAGAAAAAAGGAGAAGTGTCCCCTTTCTGTCTCTCGTCCTCTGAATCGCAAGCCTCCAAGGATGCCCCAAGTGTTGAGCTAGCAGCATGTCTGGCACAAGGTGGTCCAGTGGCCGTTGAGAAGCCATTGAATATACAGACACCAGCTGACAGAGAGAAGGCCATTTTGGAGAAGGCACCAGGCTTGGTCAGTCCAGTTGCCAGTATGAAACTGCCACTTGAGAGCAAACTAGAGGATTCACATAAAGTAGGTCTTGCTGTGGGGGTGCAGGAGGAGTACCTGTCCAGGCCAGAAGAAGAAACTGATAAGGGCAGCACTGTGGAACAACAAGATTCACTGAACTCTGTGGATGATGTACCCGCACAAGAAGCTCAAGAGAGAACTCCTTTGGACAGTGTTGATAGGACAGTGTCTCAGAGGGCCACCTCTCAGAGCTCAGAGGACACCCCTGTGGAAAACACAGGCAGAGCAACCCCTGAGTCCACTAGTGAAGCCACCGAGGCTGAAGTGCCTGTGCCGACTTCCCCAGACCACTCTGTGGCAGCTGCTGGTGGTCTCCCTCAACTGGAAATTCTGCCTTGTGTTAAAGAACAAAATGGTTTGGAGCAGCCTCCCAGAACTGGCAGCTCGCCTTGTCCTGTTCCAAAGTCCCCGAACGAGCCCAAGCCTAAAATGTCGCCTCCAGAGACTGCACTGCCACCACCAGAGCCAGCGAGGCGTGAAACCAACAGCCTGAAGGAATCACCCAAGCAGGGGGAAGGGGTGGCAGGGAAGCTGCTGCTTGGGGATGAGCTGCAAAGCAAAGAAACTGAGGTCCCCCCTAGCTGCGCAGAGGATGGCTCTGTACGAGAGAGTCCATTAGCTACTGCTGTAATCTCCCCAGGAGCTCTGTTTTCAGATGAGAATCCTTCACCAGCCAGAGTGCCCCGCCGTCGAACCAGTGCAGATATCCTGATTCTGAAGAGCGGGCAGGGCAAAGATGGCCCTGCTGCCAAAGTCTTGCGCAAGTTGCCAGGACGCTTGGTCACTGTGGTGGAGGAGAAAGAGCTGATTCGGCGGCGGCGTAACCGTATGCGCAGACTTGATGCTGCCAGCAGCGCCATGTTGAGTCCCAGCAACAGCTCAGCCCAGAGTGTGTCAGAACCAGAGACTTCTTCCTCTTCTGGCAAGGAGTTGCCATTGCTCCGTGACTTACCTGCCCGTCGGAGGATTGAACTGGAGAGCCGGGCAGCAGCCAAGGAGAAAGATGGTGGTTTGAGAGAAGAGCTGCTCGTTAATGCTTCCACTGAGCCTGTCAAACGCAAACGAGGACGTCCCCCCAAGAACAAGTGCCCTGAGCTCCAGAGTTCACGGTTGCCACAGCCCTGCCTTGAGCCAGCCCTGGAAACCAACCCCCAAAGCAAGGCAGTGGAGCCCAAGGTGCCAGAGGTCCCACCCCCAAATAAGGCATTGGAGAAAAAGACGCCCAAGACAATCTCTGCCAAGAGACAGTCTCCCAAGAATAAGATTCAGAGTAGCAAGAATGACTCTCCTGTAGAAAAGCGCAGGCGTGGCCGGCCCCCCAAGGTACGGGAACCCCCCGTCATACCACCCAAGCCGCCTGCTTCCGATATGCTACCAGCCACACTTACAAAACCTCTGGTCCCAGAGCTATCTTCTAAGGTGTCAGAGCAGCCGAACACACCCATTGGGCCTGCCCCAGTGACAGAGGCAACATCTAGGGTTAACGAATCAGTAGACACTCACCCCAAATCACCTTCCATCTCAAAAACCTCCCCTAAGGGACGAAACCGCATGACCACACATCCCAAACCCACATCAAAATCTGTTCCCAAGGCAAAAGAGTTAATGGCCAGGCCTGCAAAACCTCTTTCCAAGTCATCTACAGAAGCACGTGAACCACTTGCTAGTCCACCTACTACACAGCCTTCCTCAGAGGTGCAGGGGCTGCCTTCTCCACCATGCCCACCACCCCAGACGGCCCTTACTCCTCCATCAGCAGAAACGCCTCCCAAACGGAAGAGGGGTCGGCCCCCGAAGAACTCAACCCCTCCCTGTGTGGAGGTGGCACGACCTCCACCTTCAACCTCTGACCAAGAGACCTCCCTAGAGAACCAGGCCCCAGCTCCCCCAGTTCGCAAGCGGCGGAGGCGCAGGAGAAAGGACGGACTGGGCCCAGCGTTGCCTAGTGTCAGCCAGAGCTCATCGGAGGGTGAGGATGCCCGGCCACTGACCAGACTGGCTCTGCTGAAGCGTGAGGAAAAGCCAGAGTCGGGCAGTGAGGGTTTAGCGCAGCCTTCCCCAAAGCATGGGGTCACTGAGGGTCCGTCGTCAGCAGAGAGCAGTACTGGGGAGCAGCCTTCGAGCGACACCCCCTCCCGTTCCACACGTCTCCGGCCCGGCCATCTTGTTCCACCACTGGAACGGGAGACCCAGCGACGGAAGCGGCGCTGCTCCTTGGGAGGCAGCCGGGTGAGCAACAGCAGCAAGTCCCCTGTTCCCCAAGTGGCCTCAGAGCAGGAAGGTGGGGAGTCGGAGTCCTCCCTGCGGTCGTCTTCTGAGTCAAGCGGTAACAAAAGCGTCCAGCAGCCCAAGCGCCGGTGCTGTGGATCTGGAGGGGGCCGCGGCAGAGGGAGGGGCCAGCGGCACCGTGGGGGTTTGGCCAGCCGTATTCTTCGCAGCACAGCTAAGCCCTCCGAGAGCACCCGCTCAACCTCCTCCCCCATCCCCACACGAAAAGCAGGCCCGGCTTCCACGTCCACCTCGGCAGGGGCACCCGCTGGAGCGCCCTCCGCTGCCACCTCCCCAGCCGCTCCACTGACCTCTTCACTAAGTAACAGAGGCCGCAAGCCCAAGACGTGACCACAACGCAAGAAGTTACGACGTAACTTCTCTGCGGGGGTGGCTCAGTGGCCGTTCCCTCCCCTGCGCATCTCTGAAGCGGATCTAGCCTCCGCCCTCCCCTCGCTCTTACTCCTCCTCCCCTTCACACTGGGGCAGCAGATGGGGCTCAAGACTACCCACACAGCTCCCTGCATTCCAGACTTGACTGTTAGTGTACTACTTGAACGGAGGACGGTGAGCACACTTCATTCCCAGTTGCTTCCTGAGTGGGGCAAGGGACACTCCTGCTGACGGTATCTCGCTACCTGGGTATGTCACTCAGCTGTTCTGTCACTACGGGAGGTGGCATGGCCAGCACTTTCTCCATGAATTCTGCTACTTTCCTGATTGGGGAGGGGGAAACAGCTCCTAGAGTTACACTACAGGGGCCCACACCGTCCGTGAATGCCCCAGCAGCTCAGTACCATGGTGGGCTTTCTAGGCGCTCGCATCCCATATGTCACCTTTGGGGGTTACGTGTCAGCCCCCTCCTTTTCCCACCTCCTCCCCCATTTCCCTCCCCACCCCAAAAGTAACACAGGGGATGCCTCCTGATTTATAACATGGCTAGCTCTTACGTTTTTTAAATAGCTTTAGGTTGGTTTTTAAATGACAGTGACCAAATGCTGGCTCTCTCTCTCTCCCCCTCTGGATTGTCCCCCCACACACACACACGCACGCACACACACAGCTTATTCCGTTCTCAGCTCGGAGCCCTCTTGAGGCACAGCAGTGGGCGAGTGGAGTCCTCAAAATGAGGTGCGAGGCTCCCCCACAGGGAAGGTGGTGCCTCCACTGCTTGCGCCCACCACACCCACACACTCTCAAACACAGGCATTCACAGGCACCAGGAGAAGAAGAAAACTCATTTTTAATGATGTAAATTGCAGTCTCACTGCTCCAAGAACTCTGTGGGTATCTCAGTTTGCTTGGATCCCTCTCCCTTTCCTCTTCCCCCCCCCCCCCACACTCTGTGTACAGCTCTCATTGTAAAATAGGTTCTTTTGAACATAATCTATGCAAAGGTTATTTTGTATAGGGGAGCACAACGTTCCCTCCCCTCCCCCACCGCAGTGGGATGAAGGGGTGGCAGTGGTTCTCTGGTTTTGGGGAGGGGGTGCCGTTGGGGTGGAGGGGGAGGTGTTCCCATGGAGCTGTCTTTCCTACTGAAGCATGTTCAGAACTTGTACAGAAGACCGATGTAATCTTTCTTCAGAATAATGCTATGAATAAAGTGTTAAAAAAAAAAAGAAAAACCAACAGCACACCAAACAGGCCTGTGGTGTCTTTTTTTGCACGTTCCCTCACTTCAGTCTTCTTTGAACATAGACCTCTGTCGCAGCTGGCCTGCAGAACAAGGGAGTCTTCTTCCTTGCGGGCCTGCGAGCTGTATTGGTTTCCTCTCCTTTGCCTGCCAGGGGGCATATAAATGGATCTGGGTGCTGGGAGTTGAGGGGGGTCATTCCTAATTCACTTGAGGCTTTTACCATTTAGCCCCTGAAGGTTGTTGCATCAGTAAGCGCGCAAGCCTGCTACCCCTTGCTCTCTCTCTCTAGTTGGATGAGATGCCTCCTCTCTAATGAGCAGGGCTGAGTTCTTTGCTGGCTTAATGCTCAGAGGAGAGGAAGGCTCTCCAGTCCCCTCTGCCTTTCCGAACAGTCTGCTAAGGTAGAAAAAATTCAGGCTGCCATGCTGGGTTCCTTTGGTGCCCTTGAAAGGCTGCAGAACTTGTGATGAGGGATGGCCTGACCTTTGGGTGACAAGCCAGTCGTGCTTCTTCGTCCTTTGCCACGGAAAGGACAGGAGTGAGATCCTGTCTGCTCTTACTAACAGAAGCCCAGCCTCAGCTCCCTGAAAAGACGGGGAACAAAATACCGAGGAGCACAGGAATTCAGGGAGGATTTGTTGGGCTTTACAGCTGCTTAAAACACTGAGAAAGGGATATGAGAAATGGTCTCTACCTGTGTAGTGGTGGTGGAAAGTTTGCCAGTCAGAGAAGCCTTTCGTGTAGTGGAGCCAAAATTACTTTGGAAGGCTCACTGAAAGGGCTGTCAAGTGTTAATAGATGGAGCAATCTCCTTGGTTTTACAGGTTGGGTACAAGAATGTGGGCAAACCAGTTCCCCCACCACCCTTGACATTGCCTGCCAGTGGGAGTCCTGTGAAAAATTCACCGGTGTTAATGTTGAGGTGTGTCCTTGTTTGGTTTGGGCTGGAACTATTTAAGATAAAGGTGGCTTTTTATTTCTTTTTGATAATCTGCATTGTGTCCGCCTGCCCTAAAACGCTGTTGGGGGTGGAGTGGAATTGAAATGTTCACAGCACTACCTTTTGTTAACCAAAAAGGAGACCTGAGTGAAGGCCTGGAGCTTTCTTGGGAATCAGGAACCAGCCACCGTATTCTATGAACAGGAGCGCAAACCCCCAGCCTTTATCTGGATGGCCCAGATGAGCCCAGTGAAGCTAAGTGGAGTCAGCCCTGGTTAGTACTTGGATGGGAGACCACCGAGGAACTCCAGGGTCGTCATGACACAGAGCCAGGCGAACCACCTCTCTTCAGTCCATCTCTTGCCTTGAAAATCCTATGAGGTCACTCACCATAAATCAGCTGCAACATGACAACCCCACCCCACTTTTAGCTCATTGTCTTCTGTGCGCTGTGTACATTTTAGTTTATAAGAAAGGAGCAGCTGGACAGTGGGAACAAGACTGCAGTTCGGTGCTGGGGGAGGAGACGTACAATCAGGCTGGTTTGCCCTAGTTAAACAGTTGCTTAATTGCAAAGTCGTGAGGATTATTACTCCAGTCTGAAACTACTACTTTTTTTTTGCAGTGGGGAATGGGGCAGAATGCCTAGCCCATAGAGAGTAAGCATTTCCTCTGGTATGTCCCAGAATGCTAGAAGGTCCTTCCCTTGCTGGGGTGGAGTGGAGACGACTGTAGTGGATACCATCCAGGGGATTAAAATAAATTATATGCAGGTATCGGAAAAGTGGCCGGGGATGTTGCAACAGCTTATAATGCACAGCATAGTTAAACTTCTGTTCTCCGTCCACCGAGGAAAGTGTTTTGAAGGTGTCCTGTTTGCTTCAGCAGGTAGGGCTGGTGGTTGAAATGGGGTTGCTCCATAGCCCCCGCTGTGGGAAGAGGCCTCTCCCAACTGTTGATCAAAATCTTGGCACTGCTTTTCTGCCTACGTTCGTTTCAGCAGATTCCTCACTGCCTTTGGGGCCCCAGGTCCTTAATTTCTAACCTACCTAAGGTTGGAAAGGAGCGCTGTGTAATAACCAAGCACCTAATTGATACAGGACCTCAACCTTTGTGGTGTTTTGCCTGGGATTCCAAGCAGGCTTGCTTAGAAGTGGGGCTTCAGTTCCTGAATCCCTTAGTGGAACGTGAAGAGTAAGTGGGGCTTCAGTTCCTGAATCCCTTACTGGAATGTGAAGAGTCCAGGTAAGAATGAGATGTGCAAAGAGCTGCTCTTGGTACTGCAGGTGGCCCCGCTGTGTGCCTTTCAGGAATAAGAGTTTACAACTCAGTGGCCGTGCCTTTCAAGACCTCTTGAATGGCTGGCCCACTTGTATGAGAGCACAGGTGGCTGTAGGCATCATTAGACCCCCTTGGGGCTTCAAGTATGGATGTATGGGATAGGGAAATACAACTGCTCCGTATGGATGTATGGGATAGGGAAATACAATTGCTATCCTGAGCATGTTTCCCCTTTTATGGAGGAACACAGCATCAGTTATATTCCATTAAAACCCAAAGTCTAAAGGTAGGGCAAAAAGACCTGGAGGTCTGACCCTTGCTCCCTTCTATCTAGACCCCCTGGACACTGCTATTTCCCAGAGCTGGAAAGGAGAGAAAAAAATCATCCAGGGGCCCTGCTTTGTATAATGCTTTTAACCAGGAAAGCCCCATTGCTTTCAGCGATTGAAGAAGAAAGTCCCCAAGTTGTAACCTTTCAGCTTTCCTGCTCTTTTGGATGTCCCTCTTCTTAAAACTCCTTGCTCTGTAATACAGAAGGACTAGAACGTAGGCAGAGCGAAAGAGTGATCTAACACTGACTCCCAGGAGCAACCCACATTCCTGATTTGGTTCCAGGTGGTGACCTCATCCACCGAGAGTCTGGGACCCAGCCCAAAACAAGCACTAGGAATCCGGCAGGTATGTGAGCATTCAACAGCCGGAGAGGTGAGTGAGAAGACCAAACGGAGAGCCTTCCTGAGGAACAGTGGGGAGGTCACCTGCTCGCAGTTTGGGGCTCTTTTCCCAGATTCCTTTTTAATTTTTCAATCCAAAAGAGGAGCTGGATTTTGAAGTCCCTAGAGTTGGGAAGATCTAACCAGGCATCCAGAAGACCTTAAAACTCACGAAGATGACCTAATTACCATCGTACCATTTGTATCATGCTTCTAATTTTGCAAATGGCTCTACAGATGTTGATCACAACAGTCTGGTGAAGTATGGCACTGGCATGTTCACATTACAAGCAGGAAGTGGGCGTGGAGAAAGTGACTGCCGGATTTGAATCCAGGACACCCACATTGAAGACTTGATTGATTTTCGCAGCCTTCGGGTGCTGAATTCAGAATCATCACTGTGGACTCAGATGCCCACTCCACATTAAAGGCAGAGAAACAAAGGCATCCTTTAAAAAAAAACAACAACAACACCCCACTCTCCAGCGACCTCAGTTCTGTGTCCCAGGGACGATGGCCGAAGAGATGGAGCTCGGCAATGGGACCCTTCCTCAAGAAGGAGGTGAGACCACTGTGATGATCAATGTGGGGTCTGCAGAGACACGCAACGCTGACAAGTCCTTTATTTTGCGCACGCACAAACTACGCAACCTGGCTATAGCTAGCATCATCTGCGGCTGTTCCTGCCTTGGAGTCCTAGCCCTGATCTACGCGGTCAAGGTGAGCTATGGATGCGTGTGTGATAACTTTATTCCTGCTCCCAATGAAAAGGGTAACTCAGAGCAGCCTTTGGGCCAGAAGAGGTTCTGGGCACTTGTCTTTATAAGAATTTATTTGCCAATGCACTTGGGCACAGGAGGGAGAGCGTGTCATCCCACAGAGATGGTGGAGAGAGCTTGTACCTTAGTAACGGAGACCATGCCCTTCAGGGAAAGTCCCAGGTTCACATCCTGGTGTCTCCAGCTAACAGGATCTCAGGGCAGGTAGGCCATGTTGAGAAAGATCCCCCTTTATATGCAGGACAGGGATGCTGTCCAATCAAAATAGTTCCCGCCTACCAGAAAAACCCTGATAACCATTTTTGTGTTCACTGTTTCCACTTTGGTCCGTCATTGCTGTTTTCTGATTCCATATAACCAAACGTTCTGGTTGCCTGAGGTATTTGGGGCGGCACTCTGTCAGGCTAAACAAGCAGAAAAAATGTTTTGCTTCAGTTTGTTGTGAGAAGGCAGATGTTGCGGGGGGGGGCACAGAAACTCCTACATACACTGTCGGTCAGGATGGGGGGGCAAACATTAAGCCCAGATGACCCCCCCACCTGCAAAAGAAACTTATTTCCCATTGAAATGAGCAGAAAGTATGATCAGTTTGGGTTTCATAAGATATTTAGCTTTATTCTAATTTTAAAAATCTGATCAAAAAAAGAAGAAAAAAGATATTTCTTTGTGCTAAGACCCTAGAGATCTGCTAGCCGCCAGAGAAGACTGTGCTGAGCTGAATGGATCCCTGGCCGGATTCTCTATGGCAGCTTCAGAATGGTTAGAATCTAGGTCTACCGTCCCCAAATTGAAACCAGGCAAATGTTTTTAGCACTGCCCTTCCCACCAGGAGGATGGGTGTGTCTTCCACGGACATTCCATGCATACCCAGGTGTGTTGTGAGCACCTTCCGTTGGGCGGAAGAGAAAGAGAAGAGGCTTGAGGGCACTTTGTTGCAGTTAATGGCCCCCTGAGTGGATCTCATCATTCAAGACCAGGCTGTGCCCAAGGGAAGAAAACTCTGGCCATGACAAGCTAGGATTTCCATAGGTCTGAGCGGAATAGAATGGAAATTCGTTTTGCCAGTTCATGTATTTCAGACCGGTGGGGACAAGCAACCTGTGATGGGCCATCTCTGGCAATGAGAAGTTGCTATGTCTCTGCCACCCCACCCCACAATTACTGCCGTATACAAGAGTTAAAACACTGGTATGGGAGCAGCACCCACAGAACTGCTGAGGCCATAGCTACCTGTCACTGCAAATACTCTGGAACACCACTGTTCTGAAATAAGGGACACCCATTAAGTGCCATGTGGCAGTGAGGTTTCAGAGCAACTGCTGCTGAGTCCTTTAAGGAAGCTCTGGGTGAAACCTGAACACTTACCAGGGCCCCAGAGTGAGAAGAGCTACCGCAGAAAAGATTCTCTGGAAGAAGCGTGGTCAACCACTACCAGTTGTTTTTCAAGGTGGTGTTCTAAGCCACATCCACAGAGGTCATGTGAACATTACGTGCACTCTAGGACACGGCCTAGAATCCTCTGCACGATGCAGAGATGCTATGGCAGATACAAATGCAGAAAGTATTCCTTGAAAACAGAAAGCTTTACAAACCATGGCATTGTTTTTGTGGCCGCAAATGGAACCAGTGAAGAACAAGTCAAAGCCACACCAGCAGTAGCAGCAGAAAAGAAAAATCAAGGTGCTGAAAAAAAGGTTTTATTGTTATTCTTACTTTGAACTGGGATCACCTTGATTTTTCTAAAAGAAAAATCAAGGTGTTGAAAAAAACGTTTTATTGTTCTTGCTTTGAACTGGGATCACCTTGATTTTTATTTTATTGTTATTCTTACTTTGAACTGGGATCACCTTGATTTTTCTTTTCTGCTGCAAATGGAACCACCCACTTGGAATCAGCTGCCCTCCATCACAGGAGGATGTTATGCTTGGACCAGCCTACTAACACTTCGTGACTGGCTGGTTTATGATTGGTCCCTTCCCTGTGACAGCCATTTCGTGGTGCTGTCCACTCGCTCAGCCTTGACCTGGATGGACCAGGCTAGGTGACCTCATCAGATCTCGGAAGCTGAACGGAGTCAGCCCTGGTTAGTACTTGGATGGGAAGACCACCAAGGAAGTCCAAGGTCATTACACAGAGGCAGGCCATGGCAGACCACCTCTGGACGTCTCTTGCCTTGAAGCCCCTGTGGAGTTGCCATAGGCTGGTTGTGATTTGACGGCACTATCCACCACTGGCTCCACACGTTTTTTGGGACCCCTGGTCTGAACCTTGACAACATTTTGCTGAATAGAACTAATGAACAGAAATCTCATCTAGCCCTTTGGACACAATGCCTCTCTGACCTGAGATGAGTGTTGATCGTTCATAAACAGATTAACCCAGATGGCATTTAGGATTTACTAAAATGAGGATTTTCCTTGCCCTACCAGCTTCTTAATACACTTTCCCCCCTACTTACTTTCAGAGTTCCTACATAATGTTTCCAATCAAGTCACACAGAAACCTGCTAGCAGACCTTTTTTTTAATCCGTGGAAGACTGATAAATGGCAATACTTCCTCAGATCTCTTGACCCTGAGCCTCACGTCACACAGCAGCACAGTAAGGTGTGTACAAAACACACCAACAGTGCAGTCCTAAGCAGAGTTATGCCCTAGCAATCCCATTGACTGGATTTAGAACAGCGTAACTCTGCTTAAGGTTGTCCTAAGTCGGAAGCAACGTGACAACACTGAACACACAATTCCCCTGTAAGGGAATTTACGTGACAACACTGAACACACAATTCCCCTTAAGACTGCCCTGTAAGGGAAGTAAAAGATGTTGTCAATTAACACCAAGCACCATGGCAGGTTACTGGATATAAGAAAAGTTCGGCCAACAGGAGCCAACTTTGAATACAACGGTCATTCTTTGAAATGAGTGACAACAGGCGACTTTACTCAGTGATGGGATTTTTCTAACCAACCTCTCTGTTCCCTCTCCTGCAGTCTAGGGAGAAACAAAAAATGAATTCCCATGACTCAGCAGCCTACTGGTATCGGAAGTCCCGGTGTATGTCTTGGCTAAGTATTGGTGTCTGGGTCTCTCTCCTCCTCCTGGTACCCCTCTTAACCATCCTCGTTTCCTACATCTTCTCTCAAGCCGAATGATGCTCTTCATGAATGCATGCCAGAATTGTGTCTTCTGCAAGGCTTTCCCAGCTGGACTCATTCTAAATTGGCATCGAGCAACTTGTTGCTTGCCCACTAGCAAGGTGACCTGCTGTGTGCCCTCTGGCCTGGAGGAGATCAGAGAAGTGAGAGTGTGGAAACGGAGCTCCTTACATCACCTTTCTGGGCTGCACTAGAATTAGGGCCTGGATTGAGCCTCAATCCCTGACAGAAAGACTCTCTCGTTTATGGTTGAGGAGGGCGGGACTGTTGACAAAGAACTGGAGTCCCGGTTTACAGAAGACTGGGCACGTAAATAGTGCTAGACAGAATGTTACAAATCTTGTTTGGTTTCTGCAAGAGGACTTGGCATACTTCAGTTATGCCCGTGGCGCAGATGCCCAGTACATCTTGATTTAGACTTCTCTGGTGCCCCTATGTGACCAGAGTAGCCAAGTTCGAGAGACTGAAGCCGCATCATTCACTGCTGTGCAATTTTCCTTTAATCCAAAGTTGCGTTCTTGCTGCTGCCGTGTTGGTGTGTCCTCTGAGCACTTGTTCCATGAGCCCCTTTTGACCACATGCACAGAGCGCTCAACCTGTATCTTGGAGACCTTACTTCGGATCCCGGGTTGGCTATAGCCTCCTTCCTTAGTCACACTTTGAGTCTCGGTTCTTCACTTATAAAAATAAGAGACTGCAAGCGTAAGGACTCTTTCCTGGGAGAGAGCCTGATTGAATAACATGGAACTGCTTTGGAATGCTCCCATCAAGGCTGAAGGGAGAGTGCATGAAATAAAGGTTGTAAAACCACTTTAAGCACACAGTAGAAAGAAGATAACCAGTAGCACTTTGTAGAGACCATTCTTCTTGGCTGCTCTTAATGTTCCTTGAAAGGAACTGTAATGATTTCATTTTTTTTTGGTGTGTGTGTTTCTTTAAATGTTTAGTTTGACTGCAGTACTGTAAGAAGAGTGATAGAGGGAGACAAGTGTGATGTGATTGGCTGATGATTGAGTGTGGGAGGAGGAGTGTCTATGAGAGGATTCTGAGTGAAGTTTGAAGAGAGCATAGTCTGTGTGACTATGGAAGATTTTGAGTCTATTCTGTGTGAATAAGACAAAGAGTTCAGCCTGTGTGGCTATACATATGAGAGAGAGAGAGATTAGACTAAGTGTCTACACCTGTCAGAGTGGAGTTCTGGGAGTTTGAGAGACCGTTTGTGACACCAAGCTTTGCCAGTTATATTTACAAGTTCCTTTCATCAGCAATAGTTCAAAATAACCAGAAACCTATTTTGTTCTTTATTAAATAAATAATTTTTTGTTTAAACTTATCCCAGAAATCAGAATAGTCCTTCCTCAGGGCCACATAGTCCTCTGAAGTGCCCAGACCCTAGGTCATTCTACCAAAAGAGAGAGATTTGGAATTTTTAATTCCTGGTGGCAGCAGAAATCTACCAAGTTTAGGTACATGGAGGGTGGTTTAAAGGTAAAACCGTCTCCCCAATAAGCAAGGACATCACATGGACTTATCTCACATAGTCTGATTGGGTCCTCTGGCTAGGTCTGCCAACCTCCAGGTGGGTGTAGAAACAACAGAGAGATCACAGGAACGATGCAAACCATAACAAAAACCGTGATGTTATATTATGCAAATATATTTAGACTACTATTCTGTAGTGAATTGTATTTCTTCCATCACATTATAAAAATATACGCATAGCCACAACGGGAATTGCATATAATACCATTTCACACAACAGCTTTTCTAAGTGTACTGCGGAAATACCATTAGTTTACACCGTCAACAATTCTTATCTATTAATTAACACACAACCTTCTTCCCACTTCAATAAAACAAATTCTTTCAGTGCTCATGAAGGAATACGATTCACTACAGAATAGTAGTCTAAATATATTTTCATAATTGTTTTCATTAACCTCCAGGTGGGGGCTGGAGATCTTCTGGAATTGCAGCTGATCTCCGGACACCAGTTCCCCTGGAGCAAAGGGCTGCTTTACAGGGTGGGCTCTGCGGCATCCCGTCCCTGCTGAGTTCCCTCCCCCAAGCCCTGCTCTCCCCAGGCTCCACCCCCAACTCCCCAGGAATTTCCCAGCCCAGAGCTGGCAACCCTTATGCAGTTCCGCAGGGCCTGCAAGACGGAGCTCTTTTGCCAGGCCTTTGAGTAGGAGCCGCCGCCCCATTATACCACCACAGTCAAGGTATTTTAAAGGATGCATCGACGAGGCCTGAGGAAGAACCGGGAAACTGTAGAAGATCTGATGCCGTCGTCATTGGACATGTACACCAGGGGAGTACCATCTGGAACTGGACTTACCATCTTGGATTTAGGACATTAGTAATAGATTGAGTACTGTGGTTTTAATGTTGGATGTTTTATTATGTTTTTACATGTTTTTATATATGGCATGGCTAATGGCTTGCCCTTGTTAGCCGCCCTGAGCCCACTGGGGAGGGCGGGATATCAATATGAAAAATAAATAAATAACCCCTAGCTCCTCTCCGTGGTGACGGTTGTCTAAATGCAGGGTCATGTGACATCTCATTGATTATATACATAAGAGGAACCTAGAGAGTTCTTGCTTTTGCAGCCCAGACAAATAAGAGGAAACGAAGAAGAAAGCCTGGAAAGGGATTCAACTCTTGAGTGATCCACTCCGAAGGGGAAATGACCTCCTTGCCGGAGACGGCAGGGACGGTGGTCGACTGCTCGCTTCGGACCCAAGCAGCTCATTCGCGGTGTGGCTGCCCCATGTCGTTATCTCAGTGCACCCAAACGTGATATTAATGATTCCGTTACACATTTCCCAAATTAAATACATTATGGGCACCCGACTAACTTGGTTTGAGGCGCCGGTGCAGAATAGGCTGCTGCAAAATAAGTGAACGCAAGTTTATGCTTTGAGCTGACAAGACGTCACCCCTCCCTGTGTAACGTGAGCAGCCGTGGGGTGTCAATTGCTGCAGAGCTGGATCGTTAGCGGGTTCGGATCTCCATTCCAACAAGTCAAAAAGAGGGGGAGAACACCCTCCAAAACTGGGTTTGCATTCTTTTTCTGGCAGCAAGCTGAGAGCCAGCTGAACGGGAGGATCGGCCAGCTGAGGCCTACCTTAACTCCTTAAAGCAGTTACTTTTGACGGAGATGTGTACTTACAGTGTTCCTTCTAAGCTGAGTTAGTGTGAGTTAGCTCACTGTTTTTTAGCCTCTGGCTCACAGATTTTTGTTTCAGCTCAGGAAGGGCTCCAGAGCAAACTAATTTATGCAGTAGCCAAATCGCTCCCTCTCAACTTTAATGCCAGTAGCTCACAAAGTAGAGGTTTGGCTCACAAGACTCCACGGCTTAGAGGGAGCATTGCTTACAAATACTGGGAGCTTGCAGAAATGGAGGGAATTTAGGACTTCACATAGCCCCTTCTCCCTGCTTGCAATGGCTTCTGACATCCTGCAGAAATCGTTTGCATTTTACACATTGTATACTGCTTACTTTGGTCTGAGGAGAAGAGCCCAGACTCAGGATTTCTCCCTCAGGCCCTTAAAAAAGTGACAGGCAGCAAAATGGGAATCCAACCAAACATTCAAGGTGTTGGCAGATAGCCCTCAGGGAGACAGAGCTCACTGAATGGATGCCTAAGATTTGTGTATTGTGTGCATACATATTTTATGTCACCGTGGCTGGGGAGCATTTGAAGATAATGTTGTGTACTGGGGGGGGGGGGGGGGCACGGTACGATAGTTAAAGGTTGAGTCTGAGCCACTGGCAGAGAATCCTGACAAGAGATTTGGGAGGGGAGATCTCCATGTTTCTCCCTCCTGCAGTTCCACACAACAATGTAAGAATTCATAATGAAAATCAGTATCTCTTATTCTCAGCATGGCCACGTCTGTGGATACTTAAATCCAGAGACTGAAGCCATGAAGAGACGGCACAAGCCAGGTTCGTAGAAAAATCCAGCCCTGATTTCTGTTAGTAAAGAGGGGGAGGTGGCAGGACCCTAAGTTTCCAGGCCTGTTTTGTCCTTTGAGGGAGGACTCGCCAACCACCCGGCGACTTTGCCTCCACATGACTTACACTGCTCACCAAGGCCCAGACGCTTGATTCTATTCAACAGCAGCCACCTCACAAAAACCAGGGTGGTGTAGCGGTTAGGGTTTAAGACTAGGAGCTGGAAGATACAGGTTTGAATCTCCACTCTGCCATGGAAGCTTGCTGGGTGACCTTGGGCCTTACCCACCTTGCAGAGTTGCTGTGAGGAGAAAGATGTGAGCTGCTTTTGGGGCCCCACTGCAGAGAAAGGCTGGGAATAAAGGAAGTAAAGAAGATATTGGATTTATACCCCACCCTTCACTCCCCAAAGGCGTCTCAGAGCGGCTTACAATCTCCTTTCCTTTCCCCTCCTCACAAGCAGTGTTCCCACTAAGCGGAGTTAGTGTGAGCTAGCGCACAGTTTTTTAGCCTCCGGTTCACACATTCTTGTCTTAGCTCAGGAAGGAGGGCTCCAGAGCAAACTAATTTATGCAGTAGCCAAATCGCTCACTCACAACTTTAATGCCAGTAGCTCACAAAAGTAGACTTTTTGCTCACAAGACTCCACGGCTTGGAGGGAGCATTGCCTGTGAGGTAGCTGGGGCTGAGGGAGGTCTTTTGAGCAGCTCTGAGAGAACTTGTGACTGACCCAAGGTCATATCAGGAGCTGCATGTGGAAGAGTGGGGAATCAAACCTGGTTCTACCAGCTTAGAGTCCACGCTCCTAACCACTATACCAAACTGGCTCTCAGGAAGAAAAAAACATTAATATAGCTGAAGATTGGGGGGGGGGGTTTCTGTTAAACAGTTTGCTGCTGGGCAGGAAAGAGAGAAAGCAGCAGGGAATGTGAGGCTACGGAAGGGATTACAGGGGTAAGTGCATTCCCCACCGTGCAGCTGGAGCCACACAGAATTGTCCTAAGAAGAGGCTGCGGAAAGGGGGAACTGAAGATGGGAGAAGGCAAAGGTACAGTTGCCAGGTAAGGTAAAGGTTTCCCTTACACAAAAGCTAGTGGGATCTGACTGTAGGGGGTGGTGCTCATCTCTAAGCTGAAGAGCCAGCGCTGTCCGAAGACTTCTCCGTGGTCATGTGGCCGGCATGACTAAACGCCGAGGTGCATGGAATGCTGTTTACCTTTCAACTGAACGGGTACCTTGCAGTTTCTTGCTTTCAAAATGCTAGGTTGGCAGGAGCTGGGGCCAGACAGGAGCTCACCCCCATCACATGGCACTCGGGTCTCTAACTGCAGAACTACAGAACTTCCGTCTTAACCACATGGTTGCCAGGTTTTGTTGTTCAGTCGCACAGAGTCCGACTCTTCGCGACCCCATGGACCAGATCCCGCCAAGTTGGCTCAATTTCATGTCCGTTGCCTCGATGACACTGTCTAACCATCTCATCCTTTGCCGTCCCCGTCTTCTTTGACCTTCAATCTTTCCCAGCATCAGGGTCTTCTAGATTGGGAAATAGCTGGAGATTTGAAGAGGTGGAGCCTGCGGAGGGTGGGGCTTGAGGAGGGGAGGGACTTCAGCGGGGTGTAATGCCACAGAGTCCACCTTCTGAAGCAGCCCTTTTCTCCAGGTGAAGTGATCTCTGTCTTCTGCAGATCAGTTGTAATATCGGGAGATCGCCAGTCATAGGGTTGCCAGGTCCAGTTTGGGAAATGCCAGGGGATTTGGGGGGTGGAGCCTGAGGAAGGTAGGGTTTGGGAAGCGGAGGGACTTCTGTGGCCATTTTCTCCAGGTGAACTGATCTCTGTTGCCTGGAGATCAGTTGTAATCCATGCTCCCTCTAAGCTGTGGAGTCCTGTGAGCAAAAATTCTACTTTGTGAGCTACTGGCATTCAAGTTGTGAGCGAGCGGTTTGGCTGCTGCACAAATTAGTGTGCTCGGGA